CCCAAGGTACGCTCGAATGTCTGTGAAACGCTTCTGTGGGGAAATGATAACGGGGGGATTCGCGCAGGGGGAGAAACATTGACTTAGAATCACCCAAACTGGGAGGGCAGAAAGCCGACACCAGCGCCAAGAACGTGCTTGTTTCATAAAGCTTGCAAGTGCGTTTGGGAGACCGTCATGGCCTTCAGAATCTCAGGGGTGGCGGGGAAGGGGGGGAAAGAGAGACGTCGCGCATCGCGCAGCAGGGAGGGCAGGAAACAAGCAGCGCAGGTGTGAGGCGAAGCCGGCGGGCGCCCTCGGGAGGACGGGGGACGAGACGGTAAAGATGCGGCCTCCTCCATGACCGGAGCCTCCCTCGCTCCGCCGCCGCCTTCCTCCACGCCTCCCCCCACCCATTTGTCCCCCTCTCCCACTGTACCCCCACTCTGAAGGGGCCCTGGGACACGCAAATAAATACACACAGATAAAACTATTCCCAACATTTTCACATATTTTCGGGGTTTTTGTCTTCCCCCCCACTTCCCATATTTTCCCGTATTTTCTGGGGAATGGACGATTCATTGTGTCTGTGTGTTTCTTCTCCTCCTGACGCTCTTCCCACCCGCCGCCTGCCCGCCCCGGCTCGCACCCCTGACCCTCTGCGAGCCCGGGGCCGGCACCCGACGACCCCGCGTCCACCACCTGCTCCCCGCGCCGGGGTCCGCGGCCGCCCTGCGCGGCCAGAGCCCGGGAGCGCGGCGCCCTCGCGTCCCCGGCCCTCAGGTCTCAGGTCCCGGCCCACTTCCGGAAGTCGTCGAGGGGCTCCGCTCCCCCATGCGTCCGCCGTTCCCGCGGGGGACTTGACGCTGCCAGGGGCGAGGAGCCGGCGTCAGCACCAATACCCCACTGGAGAAGTCGGGGGCCGCCTCCCTTTCGGGGCCAGATCGGCCCAGCGGAGCTCGCCGAGCTCACAGGCCCTGGGGCTCGCATGGTTGAAAACAGCGCTCCGTGGGGGTCATGGCGCCCCTAGGGCCCATGGGTTCGCAAGGCCCAGACAAGCCTGGCGCGGCCCGGACGACGTAGGAGGCCGAGGGGGCCGAGGGGATCGTGCATCCGGGATGCACGATCCCCTCGGCAGGGGGATGCCAGCATCCCGGGATGCCCGATCCGGGGAGGTTGCCATGCAGGGGGATGCAGCATCCCCCTGCATGGCAACCTCCAAACGACGGGCCTTCGTATAGAAGTTGATATTGGGGTCGTACACGTTCGAAGCGAATCTCCGTTCCCCCTCGCAGGCGTCGTCGTCGTCGTTGTCGTCGTCGTCTTCTCCTTCGTCGTCCTTGTCGTCGTCGTTTTCGTCTTCGTCGTCGTCGTCGTTGACTACACAGGGCCTGCGCAACCCCGCCACCCCCCATAGGGCATCCGCAGTGCGTCGTCGTCGCCGCCGCCGTCGCCGTCTGCCGTCCGCCGTCCGTCGTCCTCGTCCCGTCGTCGTCGTCGACGACGAAGAGCGCGGCCGCTGGAAACAGGCGCAGGCAGGGCGGGGGGACGGCGGCGACGACGGCGGCAGAGGGGGGGAGGAGGATTACCCACCTTGCTCGGGTCGGACGAAAGGCTGGGGAAGGAAAGGGGGGGGGTGCAAAGCCTGCTGCACGCAGCTGGCTTCGGTCGCCCCGCCGAAGGGCCAATCCTCGACGCATGGCCGCTTTCGGCGCCAGGAGGCGCTTGGAAAATCGGCGACGTGAGCTGCTTGGCAAATTCCCCCTTTGCTGCACCCAGCTTTCGTCCCGCAGGCCCGCATCGGCTCGACAGAAAGAGGGGCGCCCTGGCTCGCCCTCGCCTCCAAACACCCCCCCCCCATGCCCCTCGTTCGCGGCCAGGCGCTGGCGCTAATCGCCGGCGCCGCCCCGTTGATCTTCAATCTGGCGGGCGCCACCCCGCCATTCGCCCCAGCAGGGAAACCATTTGTCTAAACACGCGCCCCCTACGGATTTGTGAATCACAAGCTGACACTACTTATGTCCATGTCCACTGCAGGTTGGAGCTTCAGGCTCCGTTCCCCAAAAACCCGACGCGCGCCGGATATGGATAAAAATCTGTATCCTGGAGACTCGATGTTTATCCATATCCAGTGCACCTCTGCCGTGTGACGCCCTTCCAAGAAAGTCCGTCCAAGACGCACTGGATATGAATACATCCCCGCCTGTAAGAAGAGCCCCCACTATCCGAGCTTGCTTTTCGCAACCGACTGCCGCGGACGCCTGGGCGCGTGTCAAGTGCCTGAGGGGGTGAGAAGGCACTTGACAACCTAACAGGTAGACCCCGAAAACTCAGCACCGTTTTTGCCTGCTTCGGAAAAAGGCGGGCCGCCTTGTAGGGACCTCGCGCGACACTGCTTCGTTACACGCGGACGTAGCGGGCCTGCAACAACTTCCACGAAGCCTGCGAGGCAAGAGCTATCAGCACCACAGGATTGCGATCGGAAAAGTCTGTGCTGCGAGGGGGGAGTGAGGTGAAGTCCTGCCAGGATGGCCGGAAGGGGCAAGGCTCTCGGGGAAGCGCTCGGGCAAAGAAGGGCGTCTTCGCTGGGACGGGCCGAAGGTCTGGCGCTGGGCTGTCCCGCTCGTGAGGGGGGAGGGAAGGAGGGAGGGAGGGGAGGCCCTGTTGGAGGGAGAAGGATGGGAGCGGACAACATGCCACCAAAGATGGCGCCCCCAAGAGGTGCCGCCACACGCCGGAGGCCAGGGTGCAAGGCATCGGGGATGAGGCTGGCGAGGCGCGGCGGGAGCGAGGAGGAGGGGGGAAGGAGGGAGGGATGCTGGGAGGGGGTGGCTTTGGGAGTGACGGCGGGCGGGCAGGAGATCCCAGAATCGAATCGATGAGTCGGGTCGGCGATCGAAGTGAAGCGGATCGGTGGAAATCGGCAGCCAAATCGGGAATCATCAAATCAGCAGAAACAGGCCGGCGAGTAGGCCACCATTGAGAAATCGTGGCCCAAATCGACATCCGAAGGAGCGCGTCTCTTTATTTTCGGCGATGACGGGCGTCATGGGGGGGGGGCGGGGGGGGGGGAAACGAAACGCCCCCCCGCCGTGTGGCTCCGGCACCACAGCCGCGCCCGCGCGCACGACGACGATGAGCAACGATCGACGAGCGACGGGCGACGACGACGACGACGACAACGACGACGACGACGCAAGCATCATGTAGGTGTCGATCTGCCCCACGGCGCCTGTGTACACCACAATGGTGCACCACAACGCACGTGTACACCAAAGCACCCGCGTACACCGCACCAATGGCACCAATCGTGTGCAACACAGCGACTGTGTACACCACAGTGCTTGCGTGAACTGCAGCGCTGGTGTACACCACAGCGAATCTGGACACCGCAGCAACATGTGCAAGACAGCGCCTGTGTACACCACAATGCTTGCGTGCACCGCAACGCCTGTACACACCACCTGTCTACACCACAGCATCCGCGTGCAACGCAGCGCTGGTGTACACCACGGCGCCTGCGCGCACAGGACAGCTTGAAGGAGCATGTAAGGGAGGATCTGCCGCGGACAGCTAAAAGCCACGCTAGGGAAATTCTGATAGTGGAATGCGACGTTCTTCCCTCCTCCCTCCTCCTCCTCGTTCACCTCCACCTCTTTCTCGTCCTCCTCATCCTCCTCCCCCTTCCCCCGCGTCGTGCGGGTCGGCGCTACTGCGCACGTGCGCATCTCACCGTGCACCGCAGACTGGCTTATTGAATCAGTCCACTTAGTTTTCGGACGGCCACATTCGCTGGAGCCTCGTGGACGCAGATGGGAGGAGTTAGCATGATGCGGGCGAACTCGGCAGGACTCCTAGACTCAAGCGGCGCACCTTTTTCCATAGGGGACCATTTCCGAATCCTATAAACACTGGTTTGTGGAATCCGATGGCGCTCCATGTTGTCAGAAAGATTGGTTCTAACATTCTATAGGCAACAAAACTGCTCTGTTGTACGCTGTTGCTCTGGTGCACACAGGCGCCGCGGTGTACCCAGGCGCTGTAGTGCACGCGGGCATTGTGATGTATACTGGTGCTGTTGCACACGGCTGATGTGGTGTACGCAGGCGCTGGGGTGTACACAGGCGCTGTGGTGCCCGCAGGCACTGTGGCACACACTGGCGCTGTGTTGCACGCGGCTGCTGTAGAGTACATAGGCGGTGTGGTGTACGCAGGCGCTGTGGTTCACGCGTGCAAAGTGGTATACACAGGCGTTGTGGTGCAGATCGCCACATACATGCTGCTGCTACCCGTCCTCGGTCATTCCTAAGCATTCCCAAACGCCGCCGGCGTGAAACGTGACGTCATCGGCCTCCTCCCCCCCCCCAGATGATTGCCGTCATCGCCCCAGGATCAAAAACAGCCTCGAGCCGCGACCGCGCACACGACGACGATGAGCGACGAGCGACGAGCGACGAGCACGACAACGACGACGACGACGACAGCGGACCAGACTCCTATGCGGTTGCCTATGCGGACACCTATGCGGATCCCGATGCGCACGGCGGCAGTGCCCACAGCGCATAGGGGGGGAGGGGGGGGGGGGGGGGCGCGTTACGTCATAGGGGGGGGGCGGCAGGGGCCATGACGCCCGTCATGCCCCAAGCAATAAAAAGAACACGCTCAAATCGAATCAAATCGAATCGGATCGGCATCGGAAGCCCTCGAACTCGGCTCAAATCGAGTCGGAGGAATCGAAACGAGTCCTGGGCGGGTGGCGGTTCTCGGGGAGAGGGGGCAGGAGGGAAGGGGGGCAGGGAGGGCGAGGAGGAGGAGGTCAGGGCACGGCAGGGGCCAGCATGGGGAAGAGCGTGGCGAGTGAAGGCGGCAGGCGATGACGACAAGGACCGTGGCGATGACGACGAGGACTAGGATGGTGGTGATGAGGACGACGAAGAGGTCGAGGACGGGGAACGGACGAGAGGGGAGGCTCGGACGGGAAGGGGCAGGTGCGCCGCCGGGCGGGGGCCGCCGTCGCTCTCCTGTCATCGCCAGTGAGGACGACCAGGACGCGGTCCCTGTACCTCGGCGGCAGCACGCCATCCTCCTCCTCCTCCTCCTCCTGATCATCCTCTGCTCATCTACCTCCCTTCCCACCTGCGATCTGCGATCTGCGATGGCGGCAGGCCTGTCATCACGTGACTGGTGGCATCGGTAACCCCCGCTCCCAACATGCGTTGAGAGAAGGGTCTTTTATTCCTCCTCCTCCTCGCTCTCCTCCGCCTGCTCCTCCTCTTGCTCCCTCCTCCTGCTCCGCCATCCTCTTTCCCTCCTCCTGATCGGCCCTCCTCCTCCGCCTCCTCCCCTCCCTCCTCCTCCTCCTCCTCCTCCTCCTCCTCCTCCTCCTCCTCCTCCTCCTCCTCCTCCTCCTCCTCCTCCTCCTCCTCCTCCTCCTCCTCCTCCACGTGTTTCTCCTCATCCTCCGCGTCGTTCTCTTCCTTACCTGCTCCTCCTCCAACTTCCACCGTCTCCAACTCTCCCTCCTTCTCCTCCGCCTTTCTTCCTCCACCTCCACCTCCACCCTCCACCCTCCACCCTCCACCTCCTCCTCCTCCTCCTCCTCCTCCTCCTCCTCCTCCTCCTCCTCCTCCTCCTCCTCCTCCTCTCCTGCTCATCTACCTCCCTTCCCACCTGCGATCTGCGATCTGCGATGGCGGCAGGCCTGTCATCACGTGACTGGTGGCATCGGTAACTCCAGCTCCCAACATGCGTTGAGGGAAGGGTCTTCTTTTCCTCCTCCCCCTCCTCCTCCTCCTCCTCCTCCTCCTCCTCCTTCTCCGCCTTCTTCTCTTGATATGGTTCCCTATACATATACATCAATATATATATATATATATATATATACATACATACATATATATATATGTGTATCGGTCTCTCACTCCCTCTAACGCGTGCTATTGGGTGATGAACCGCAATGCCCGCGTCGCCACACCAACACAAGAACGGCCTTACGAACGACATGCCGCTGCGCATGCCAGGCCTTCCGGGGAATACGCCTCAAAACCTCGCCTTCATCTCGTCATCCTTTCCTTTTCCTCATCCTCGCAAAGACCGACCGTCCTGGCATTCCTATACGCCTGCCGCGAAAATTCCCCATGATGCGCTCAAACAAGACGGTCCCACCCAGAAGTGTTACTTTTCGTGCCACAAGAGGTTCGTCGCAAATCTTTACTGGGCCTGCAGGCAAGCCAAGACGCTTCGCCTCTGCTTGGCATCCTTCTCGCTCTCCCCCCCCAGCTCCTGACCCCTCCCCCCCTTCCCGCCTCCCCAATCGCTCACAGTCCTCCTCCACCTCGCCCCCTCCCTCTGCTTGTCGATGGCGCCACGCCGTCATCCTCCTTCTCTTCCCCCTCTCTCCTCCTCTCCCAAACCTCCCAATTCTCCATCCTCCGAGTTTCCTCCCTTGCTCGTCCTCATCCCCCGTTCCTGCCCCGTGCATTCTCTCATCCTCCTTCCTCCCTCCCATTGCGTTCCCTCCAGACGATCTTCCCAGTGTACATGCTCCTCCTCCTCCTCCCGTTTCCCCCCCCCCCCCCCCTCTCTCCTCCACCTCAATCCGTGCTTCTTGTAAATCGCTTCCCCCTGTCGCGCCCCAAAAATTGTCCAAAGGGCCGTCCAGGCGTTTCGCCGGAGGGCTCCTCAGAACTTAGGATGCTGAAGCTTGAAGTCACAGAACATTTAGGACGGATGGCGGCCCGTTTCCAAAATGCGGGTCTCGCTTTAGCGCCGCTCACATTCATTTTAAAATTGTGTAACAACTTCTTGAAAGAAGAACGGCGGACGTTTCAAAGCATTGCTCTCGCCTTCGCCACGCTTCATAAAAGATGCCCCGCGACGTGCCCAAGTTATGGTTTATATGTACACGCCAATGGCGTGCACATGTAAACCAGAACCATCGCGCGCGCTTCGCGCGCGCTCAAAGTCTAGCTAGGCTGGACGGTCGAACTCTTGGAGATCTCTATATCATGACACTTCTTCTCCAGGGCTTCCGAGAACCACAGAACCACGAAGACGGCCCAAGTGGCTTCCAAGACTTCATACGGTCCATCCACGCCATCCACGACGGCTCAAGACAAGCCCAAGCCCAAACGGCATTTCGGAGGCCCTTTTCATTCGTCGCGGCTGGACGTAGCCGGAGGCAGAGGGTGGAGAAGGGGAGGTGAAGGGGTTCCTCGGGGGAGAAGGAGAAGGCGGACGAGGAGGAGTTGGAAAAGGGTGGAGGACGCAGCAGAGAAGGAGGAACTATGATCTTTCCTTTTTTGGCAAGCGTGGCGAAGCTGCCAGGCGAACTTCAAACAGCGTATCGGAGATCCCCTTGTCTCGAATGCCCTCGGGGCCTCTGTCGGGGCTCTCCTTGGCCTCTTTGGGTTTTTTGTTGGGGGGCCTCTTGCAGCCTCCTGGGGGTCTCTTGGGCGAAAGTCTCGGGTCCTCGGCCTCACGCTCCCGATCCCGGGCCGCGGAGGGGCCCTCTTTTGGACCGTCTCGGGACGCTTTTGACGCCTCTTGGGCTCTTGGGGCATTCCTGGGGCGATCCTCGGAGCCTCTCGGGCCTTTCGGCAGCGTCGGGAAGCGGATCAAGCGGAAGCGCAAACATTGTTTAAAACCAGCGGGAAGTAAAATGTTGTTTGGCCTCTTCGAGCTCTGCTGATGAGACCCATCCCGCCACCGTGCCTGAGTTGTGGTTAGAGGCCCCTTGGAAGTTCTTTTGGGATTCGAAGGAGGCCTCCAAGGGGCCTCTTGAACACAATTTGGGAGGCCTCTTGGGGGCCGTGTGGAGTTTTCTTGCGGCTCCTTTGGGACCTCTTTGGGGCCTTTTGGGGGCCTCTGGTAGGGCCTTTGGGGTTTTCTTGGGGGCCTCTTGAAGCGGAAGGTTCGAATTGTCGGTTCGTGTTTCCCCTCTCGGGGCCATCTTTGGGCCGCCTCGGGGCCCTCGTGGGCGATGTTGGGCGCCTCGTGGGCCGCTTTGGGACACGTCAATTTTGAGGCTCTGTTGCGCTGGTTTCTGAGGCCTCGCGGGCTGTCTTGGACTGTCGGAATCACGAAAAAACGATAACTTTAAAACAAATAATAATTCGCCTCCTGAAGGCCTCGTGGGAGTCCATTTGAAGGCATCAGTGCCGTATCGAAGTGGTTCGGAAATGTCTTCAAACCATGTCGGAAAAAAATTAAACGCGCTTGTGCGGTCCTGGGTTTTCGTGGGGCGCTCGTGGGCCATTGTGGCGCCCCCTGTGGACGTCTCTCGGGCCCTCTCATCGCTCCCCTTCGCCTTCTTGGACGCACTTTGGCGCCCCCCGAAGGGTTTTAAAAGGCCGGGAGAAACCAGTGCAATCCGACCCCCCTGGGACCCTCCTCGTTTATGAATGTGTTTGTATATACACACGCATACATACATACATACATACATACATACATACATACATACATACATACATACATACATACATACATGCATGCATGCATGCATGCATACATACACACACGTATGCATATATGTATATGTAGGACTGTTTACGCCAAAACAAACATGTCGAAGAGCGCACAATGCGCATGTGCTCACAGACACACGCCAGACATCACGCAATAACAAAAAACAGCATATAATCGGAGACACACGCATACGGAGGAGGGTGAAGGGATGGCATGCGTTCTCTACCACAGTAGCAGCGCCGAACACTCCATTTGCGGGATAATACAAGGCCGTGCGCTGTATGATGGAACGGCACATCGCGCTGAGCGAAGCAAGCGCACAGGGTGGCAAGGCGGGCGGGGGGCAGCTGAGGGATGGCGGCCACGCGGACAAAAAAAGACAGCGACATGCGCTGCGTGGGGCAGCGGCTCCCTGCAGGCTCCGATGCGACAGCGCCGAACGCTGCGTGGCGAGACGGCGCCCGCGCGCTAATGGAATTCCTGCCATTTTGAATGCGTATAGTCGCCGTCAATGGCATTTCTCGTAGCCGCCCGCGGCAGTGAAGCACCTGCGAGAACTGCCGCGAACTCGCCTGACACCGCACGCAAGTGCTCCCCTCAACCTGCAGGAACTGGTCCACGCCGATTTTGCGCGCCAGCCTCTTTGCCGCCGTCCTGCAACGCGCGGCCAAGTCCGCCGGCTCGAGGCCCGGGTCTCGCGCCGCACGTTGTCCGACGTCATCGCCCTCGAGAGCATGACGAACAGGTGGGGACACAGGCCGTCCATGTCGTCGGCGCCCCTACACCCGGCGTCGACGATCACGCCTTGGCGCATGGTCTGGCCTTGGCGTGCCGTCGACGTCACCACCTGTGCGCGCGTGCTCGGCAAGCCTGCGCGCGTGACTGGGTGTTTGCTTTAGTCGAAGGGGCTCGGCGCATGCGGCTCGATGGAGACCAGCCGCACCACGACCGAGACGTCGCAACCTTCCGCGCGCTCCGCCAGTCGTTCGCAACAGGTCGCGCCCTTGCATTTGCCCATGCGGGCCCATGCGCCGAATGGCAGGTAGCGCAAGAACGCGGGGCGGTTCTCAGTATTCGCCTGTTGCACTTCATCCTCGTCGCGAACTTGGATGGCCACGCGCACGATCTCGCGCGAGGCGTCCTTCACAAACTTCCGATTCGGGCCCTATGGTCCAGGCAGCGGGGTCGCATGCCTGCGCGCAACGGCATCATTCACCGCGTGCCGACGGCCATGCCCGGGTTGGCTTGACTGATGAGCCTCGCGGCGGGATCCACGGGCAGTTGGGGCGAGGACGCACCGGCGGACCGGACGAGGTAAAGGGCCTCTCCCACAATCTGTGCGCACCTCCTCGCGCGCATCATCATCCAGCGAACCACTGCCCCAAGACCACACAAGCTATGTGCCCCATCTGGAAATGTTTCTCCGCGAGCCTCGGGCCGTCCATCTTCGGATGGATGCGCCTCCACTTATCGGCGACGCCAACCGGCACATTGCCTCGCCATCGCTCGGACGTCCGTTTGCCATGCATTTTTCGGTATCGTGCGTGTTTTTTGTTGCTCGATGGTCCAGAATCGTCCTCAATGGTCCTCGCCGAAAAAAAATGCACAC